CAGGTGGAGATGGGACCGAAGTCTCTCCACCGGGCCCACTGGGATGCTGGGCAGCTGGCCCAGATCCCCAGCAGCATCCGGAGTTGCGAGGTGCGGAAGCAGGTGGTCCTTACTCGCAAATGTTGAGAGACCTCACAGACTGGTCCTGGGAAGACCCACAGATGGCAGGTGGAAATGGGACGGCGGTCTCTCTACCGGCCCTACAGGGATGCTGGGCGGTCGGCCAGATCCCCAGCGGCAGTTTGTATCACAGGGAGCTGAAGGTGCTGTCCTTCTTCCCCAGCGGCAGTATGTATCACAGGGAGCCGAAGGTGCCGTCCTTCCTTCCCAGCGGCTGAAAGTGTGTAAGGGAGAGGAGCTTATTACCCCATCTCCCCAGCGGCAGCATAGCCCACCAAGGGGAGACACTAAGCACCCCACCAGCACAGATGGGACTGTGGTCTCTGCGCCCAAGCTACAGGGAGTACGGACAGTCGGTCCTGCTCCCCAGTGGCAGAGTATTCTACCAGGAGGGGAGAGTCTCATTCCCCCTCCCCAGCGGCAGCCTAGCCCACCAAGGGGAGATGATGAGCCCCACACCGGTGCAGATGGGACCATGGCCTATGTGCCCAAACCACAGGGTGTAGGTACAGTTGGTCCTGTCCCCCTGCAGCAGGACTTTTTATCAAAAGGGGAGACAGTTGGTCTCCCCCTCCAGCAGCAGCACCGGGTCCAGGGAGAGGAGTCTACCACCCCCTCTTCACAGCTGGGCTCCAACCAGACTACTCCAGCTGAAGTGCTGGCACCAGGGCAGAGTACCACTGGTCTCTGCCCACTCAGCAACCCACAGATCCGGAGTACCTGTACCAAACACAGCCATGATGGAGCCCCTGGACAAAGACTGGCTACACGTTTCCCCAGGTGCAGTAACTTTTCATAGTGGGTGAGCTGCACTACTGACTATGTTTTGTGGGTAGGTTGCTGGACTAACCAAGGCACTGACCGACAGGAGGCCAGATACCTTGTTAGTCTTTTTGGGAAATGGGAGAAATGTGGCGGAACCAGCCTCGCCACTGGGCATTGGAGAAGACCGATTGCCAGCCTCCTGCCCTGTGACTATGGCCCCATGTTGAAATGCTGTTTTTTCCCCTGCAAAGACTCGAAAGCCAGGTCATTCAGTACTTTCCCTATGTGAGCAGTGTTACCCCAGATAGCTATGCCATGGAGCCCATTCGTATAACGAAAGACTATGTGAAAGACTTCGGCTCCATGGCAATTGAACTGTATGTATGTGATCTGAGCGCCATTCAGTAATAATTTGTGCTCAGATCTAAGCTATCTGGGGATATGTTGAATGTACCCATTTTATGCAATCACTGCACAGTTATATATTTTTATGTATTTTTATGTGCCTCATCTCAGGATCCTATTTAAGCATTGTACTGCAGAGAACTCGAGATGGAAGGATTTCCCCAAGTGAGTAGCCCATTTAGCAGACAGAGTAGGACCTGCCAAAGATGGGGTACATTGGCGTTGTGGCAGGCTTATGCAATGTATGATGATATACTCTAACTAAAACCCCATTATTTTTTTGCCTAGATCAGGTGTTTTTAATAAAACCAAAGAATTGTTCAGCACTAAAATGACTGTTTAGTAGATAAGCGAGTGCGCTGGATTTTTATTTTTACTGTACTTATTGGCCCCCAGCAGCACCCTAATTTAGCATGTTTAGGTGAGTGCAGCCAAACCCTTGTTTTCTCATAATTGTTTTTTGCTACCATGTGGCTAATGGAGTTTTGCCTCTGTCCTTGGAGATAATTGGATTACTTCCCAATTATCTCCAGGATAGAAGACTCTATGGAACTGGTTTTGGGCAGAAAAAACATGCTTCATTTTGTCAAATAGGACTTTCCCTTAACTTTTTAACCCCTGAACCGATTGCCCTGATTTTTGAGTATGTGTATATTTCAAGCATGCGGATTCTGAAAATGTATGTTTTACGTGAATGGCATGCATATTTAGGAAGTTATTAATATTTTGTAAAAACTGTATTTCTCTGCCTGTGATAATTATATTACCCATTGTGTTCATTAATCATATCACAGGCAGAGGGGAGGATTTTGTGTGGGAGTGTCTGTGTGTATTGTACGGATTGATTGGTTGTATTTCAAAACCCTGTGGGCAGTACTATGTTTGTGGATTGTGAATAAAAGAGGCTGTATGTGCTTGACCTCAAAATGAAGTGTCGTCTCGTTATTGGGGGAATTGGATTGAATGCTGATTGCCAGGAGTGTAAGCTGATTGTATGCTTTTCCTGTTCAGCTGCTTACAGCATTCATATGCTTGAGAGCATTCATATGCTTCTCCGGTTCGGTGGTTGTGGTGTCTGCTGCAGTGCTTGGAGTCCTCAGGAAGCGCTAGGAGCATCCTTCAACGGAGGTACCCAGTAGGGGTGCCAGGTGATCTGTTACAGCCATTTTATTGTATTTTGAATATCAAACATGATGTGTTTATTTAGTTGTTCTAACTTATTTGTTTTGATAATGGGTAATTTACATTTCTCAAGAAGCGCTGATTATATTTTTACTTATTACCTCTTTATTTCCCATTTCTATATTGTATAGTAAATACTAATAGAATCTAAATGCCTCGACAATCTGTTTAGGAGATCAAACTGTTTAGTCTCCTACTTTTATTTTATTCGATTGTTTTTCTTTTAAAATTTTAATTTATTGCGCACGTTCTGTGGTCGAGCCCGGCTTTCAATGGCTGCTACCCGTTTCATCTCTGAGTAACTCAGAGCAAGCTACTAAATTTGATTCCCTACCCCAGTCTCAAACAGCTCAGTCTTGAACAGATGAACTGTCCCTAACCCATTAACCCTTATACCTCCTTCCCTCCAGAACTCCACTCAAAATCCCGTGAACCACAAAGTCCTCCGCAGTACTGCTGACTATCTCCGCCTGAGTGTTTCAGTGCATTTGGCGAGAGGCACAACGGAGGACAAAGGAAGAAATGTTGGTGTGGTGTGGTGGCGGAAGTCAGGAGAAACATCTACCACAAGACAGTGAAGCACAGCGATGGACATGAGGAGAAGCAAGTACCTGTCAGGCCGTGTCTGGTCCGGCTCCGTTCTGGCGTTTCCGGTATGCAGAACCGTCTCCGCCCCCTTTCTGACGCGGCTCTCTCACACTTTATAGAGAGACCGCGCCAGATTCAAGGTGTTTGGTGATTTCGGATGTTACTTTCCGCATTCAACGCCGGCTAAGCTTCTCTTCGTTCCTAACGTGTACCGAACCTTGGATTGTTGTAACGGACTTTTGCCTTCTCATTGCCCTCTGACCACGGACCGTATTGGATTTACCGGATCTCTACTTGTTCCCTGGAAACCGGACTGTTTATGTCAAACATCCTTTGGACTCAATCTATTCAGTTCCATGGAGGACAACTCCCATCATTCTTAAGTATACAATTTACTTCTATCTCTGAAGGTCTACTTTATTAATTAACTTTTACTTGCTTGCTATAACCTACATTTACTAAAATATTATTGCAATATTAAAGCCTTTTCTTTTCCACTTATTGCCTGCAACCTCCACCTTGCTTTAAAGCTACAGTAACCTTATTAATTTAAAGGATTTCTCCTCTTTTTGCTATTGTAATTAAGGAGTTTTACAAGCTGCAGTTGAGTTCCAAATCCAAAACCTCTTGTGACATAACAGTACCACAAGTTAGAGACTTGCCGTGTGCCACAAGTGCAGTAAATACCAAGATGAATCTAGCCCATGGAAAGCACGAGACTGTGGATGGTGGTGATGATCAAAGCGTTCCATAGACTAATACACGAGGGCTGTAAGTAGCTCCTTTGGAGCATTAAGTCTTAGGAAAAGGAGGAGGTAGGAAGAAGGATAAAGAAAGAAAAGGGGAGAAAGGGAGAGAAGAAAAACTAAAGAGATTCTAAGTTTTGCTTGTTTTTTGTATATAATGTTTTGAGTGTATATTATATCATGAAAATACTTTGTCCAAATAATATTGTGCAATAAAAAAGAAAGAGAGAAGAAATATGGAAAATATCTTTTGAGTGTATATTATATCATGTAAATACTTTGTCCAAATAATATTGTGCAATAAAAAAGAAAGAGAGAAGAAATATGGAAAATAAACTAAGAGAGAAGGGAAGAGGAGAAGAAGAGGAAGATTAGAAAAAGAAAAGGAGGAAAGAGAAAAAGGGAAAGAGAGAAAAGTAAAGAGGGAAAAAAGAAAGGGAAAAAGAGAGAAAAAGGAAGGGGGGGAAAAGAAAAAGGGAAGAAAAATAAAATAAAAAGAGGGAATCACAATGGCTCCCAAAAAAGAAAAAAATCCTCCTTCCTGACAAAAACAAATCTATTAACCTATTCTGTTCTCTTAAAACTCACAAAACTTTTAAAATAATTCAAAGAAAATCATTAGAACCTAACAAAAATCATTTAAACTACTCTGATGAAACATCACATGATGAACAGCATACGTTCAACCCAGCTCTTTCTCATGCTTCCTTACTATTAATGATGGACAATCTATATACAAAAATAAAAAATGATTCAGATTTGAACACATTGGAACTAAAACTCAGAAACTACCACAACAAGAGGATCTTCTAACACAATTTCAAAGTGATTTTATGGAAATTAGAACTGAGAATTTTCAACTTAAATCGAAAATATAATTTCTGGAAAAAAATATATCAGACTTGGAAGACAGATCAAGGAAAAAAAAATTTAAAATAAGAGGGATTTTCTACAATAACAGATTTATTCTCGTATGGGGTGTGACGAAGTGCCCTTCGCCACTTGTGCCTGGAGAGGACTGCTTGCCCGCCTCTTGCCCTGTGACTATGGCCCCTGGTTTGTATTGCCCTTTAAAGACATGATTTGGGCATAATGGATTTGTGTTGTGCTGCTGCTGGCCCTTTAAGAACCATCTGGGGACATACTGTGGAGTTACTGGGTGGCCACCATTTCCTGTATCAGAAGCACATGGTGAGAACAATGGATGGCGGCCATTTTAACTCACAGACACTGTTTGGACTTTTCAACATGGTGCCATCTTGCCAGTATTTGGTGCACAGAGACATCGTGCAGTGGTTTTGGACTATACAGCAGGGGACACATTATAAAGTGATTGTTTTTCATTTAGCCTGTATATGTTCTGCAGAATCTGCATTAAACTGTATTTTCCAAAGTACTGAACGGATCTGGGTGAATTTTGGATATGTGGTTCACCCAGATCCCCCGGTTCCAAGGATATACTTGGGGTTATTGCATGTTTTGGGGTCCCTGTGTGTTTTATGAAACTGTATTATTTCTGGCCAGCAGATAATTGAGCTTTGTGTATTGTAGAAACTCAATTATCTAGCCTGGCCCACAGGAGGAGTTTTGTGTTGCATAAATTGTGAGTTCTGTGTGCCAATAAATCAGTCTTGTTCCAGCATTAAGCCTTGGCTCATGTTTGGGGGAAGGGATACCTACACTCTGGGGATTGCTATAATCACTTACTCCCCAGAGGAAGCTCTTGCAATAGCTTGATTTGTTCCTGTTCCTGCTCTCTGGGGAAAGAGAGGTTCACCCACTGGAAGCTGGATCCTGGCCTTGGGTCCAGGGTGGGTGGAAACAGCAGAGACCCCGGCGCAGTTGCATCGCTGGAAGTGGGGTCTGCAGTGTTGATGGTGTCGGTTGGAGTGCTTGGAGTCCTCAGCGAGCACTAGGAGCATCGATTGGCGGAGGTACTCAGTCGGAGTGCCAGCGTTCCGTCACATGGGGCACAACCCTTAGAGAGATATCACAGGTTAAGGAAGCTGAAAGAAATATCAGCTCCAAGAGATACTATAGTGAGATTTACAAATTATCATTTGAAAGATACAATCATGAAGCAAATCAGGAAAAATCCACTTAAACATGAAAAATATAAAGATATAATTTTTTTTGCAGATATTTCAACAGCTACGTTAGAAGCAAGAAGGCGGTTCCATGACTTAACATCGATTGTAAGACAAAAGATAAGTTATCAATGGGGATTTCCAGCAAAATTAATAATAAAACATGAAGAAAGACTACACAATTTTTTCGATCCTGTACAAGCAAAGGAACAACTGAGAAAATGAAATCTCTTTACAGAAACATAACAGACAATTTAAAAGAAAGGGAAAAGGGGACTTTTTTCCCCTCCCTTTTCCCGTTACCTCCATAGTTCTAATATAAAAATCTGATGTGAAGTAAAGGAAGAGACAATGTGAGAATGAGGGAAGGGAATGAGGTTATAGAGAATGAGAATGAAGTAAAGGGGAAAGATATTACTGAAAATTCCATCTAAAAATAATACAGCCTCAAATTATACTTATATGAAGTGTGGATAAGGGTGTATGTAATTAAATATAAGGAACTCCTCCCCACTCTCTTCCCCTCTCCCTAATAGAATCTAATCAAAATCTTGTTTATTGTATTCAAATTTTGTATTATAGTATTAATTTAATTAAATGTATATTCAAACTAATGGATAAAATAATACACATTACATTTAAAGATAAGATTATCTAAAGATTTCAAAAGATCCCTTTGTTTTGTATTTATATAATAGTAAGCTATTCAAATTATATCACTATTAAATATCTAAGAGGTTTTTGATAGGGCACCTAAATATGTGAAAGTAAATACACAAGTAAATAAATATTGAAGGGATAAAAAATTATTATGTATCATGGGTATAGAAGACTTGAAAGAGAGGAAAAGGAAAGTTGATTGATTTATATGATAAAAGTGAAGAAAAGAGAATAAATATGTTTTTAACTAAAAAGGATAACACAGTAAAGAAGATAAAAAGGGTTTTGCACGATTTAAGTTTCAAATACTTATAGAGTATATTAAAAAGAGGATTATAATCACTGTGTGATATAAAAAAAAGGATCTATATATAGAAAGGATAATATAGAAAAGAAAGAAGGAAAAAAAGATGAAAAAGGGAGAGGGAAGGAGGGAGCAAGAGGGAAAGGGGAATTTTTTTCTGTCTCTTCTTTCTCCCTTGTCGAGAATTAGAATCAGAAATTGAAACACAAATAACTTAAGAAAACAGTTTCTTAGAAAGCTGGTACAACTTTAGTGTGACCTAAATTGGAAATAGGTCAGATCAGAAATGAGATTTCTGATTACACATGGTGTTTCTTTAATGAATGAATGTCGAATGAATGCTTTATATGTTGCAGGGTATCTTAATTTTATTGCCATTAAATATTTTCAGAGCGAACTGGTACAAAGATATGAAGAAATAGGGCAGGGACGAGAGGTTCCAAACATCAAAATAAAAAGAAAAGACACTTCATTTTATCTCAATAAATGCTCAGGGAATCAATACTCCATATAAAAGAGGCCAGTTGTATCATACTTTATGCCAAAATCAAACAGATGTAGTACATGTTCAGGAAACACTGGAATAATACAACCAAGTAACTATGGAAATTCTCTTATTATCCACATATTTATCAAGCGAATATTCTTATTAAAAAAAAAAAAAAAAGCAAGGGGTAGCTATTATAATCTATAACAGGGGTCAGCAACCTATTGCATATGTGCCATGCATGGCACTCGAGTTGCCTTTGCACAGCACTCAAGGGTGCCAGTGCCAAACAGTGCAGCCAGCCCCCTGTTTTCTCATATATATATATATTTGGAAGTCCAGCCAACTCCTTGGTTTTGCACCCCTCCCTGTCACAGGTGCCTCATCCCAGGGCCCCATTTAGCCTTGTACTGCAGAGAACTCTAGATGGAATTTCCCCCCACCCCAAGTAAGTAGCTCATGAAGCAGACACTAGGCTGGTAGTGTAAGACCTGCCAAAGATGAGGACATCGATGTTGTGGCAGGCTTATGCAATGTATGATCATATAATGTAACTAAACCCCCATTATTTTTTGTCTGGATTAGGTGGTTTTAAAAAAAAAAAAAACTAACAAAATCTGTCAGCACTGAAGTTGCTGTTTAGGGCATAATGGAGTGCACTGGATTTTCTGTTTTTAGTGTCAAACTGTTGTGATTGCAGGTGGTGAAGGACAATTGCGGCACAAAGTGGAAGTGATCTCAGATCACTTCCTCCCAGCTCTTGTAAATGGGAATTTGCAATAGAGTAGAGCAGCCTGCAGCACCTATCGCAGCTCCTGCACATGTTCTGCACCTGCCCATCCCGGAGCCCACTGGACCCCAGGGAAGCCATTCACACTGCTATACACAGAGGTGCTATAGAAGCCTCCACCTCATACAAATATTACAAACAGCCCACACACATACAGTTTTTGCAAACACAACACTACTGACAATCCACGTACATGCACACAACCCCACAAGCAGCCTCTAAGACACAATTACACACACAGCCCCCATACACAGCCCACATTCATAGGTGTGACGAAATCCCTGTTTGGACAGACTCAGTGAAACAGCATTTCGTCTAAATATTTGTGTGTTTGGCCATTTTGTGTATTTGTAAAAAAGCCGAACAAACTCCAGAACCCCCGACCTCCCACCAAGGTCATGTCCAGCTCATTTACCACCCAGACCTTGCGGTTAACCACAAGGTAATTGATGAAAGGTTTGGTGGTCCGCGTTCGGTTGCCAAACACGTGGCGGTCGCCATTTTAAATTGTCAAACGCTCAGCGGTAGATGGTCGTCGACCCTCTGGAACTGTTTTCGGACGCTTATTTAGCCGCACACCTCTGAAGCACACCAAGTTCCCGTCCATTCGATTAATAACTACCGTTTGGGACTTTCCTATCATACGAGCTAGACCGACCCCAGGTAGCTGCAGTTATGGAACTCTTTTCGGATTCAATCTGAACAACTGGTGAACTAAAAATTTTACTCGACGATATTGAGAACTGGGTTCGTGGGATCTGAGCTCTATTCTTCTATATTGTGTGCTCAGATCCAAGGTATCTGGGGGTATGTGGAACATGGAGACTACGTTCAGCCAAATATGAGTTATGGTTTTTAATACAGTCAAAATGTAAAAAGGACATGTTTTCTCTACCTGGAGATAATTAGGTTCTATCTAACCACTTAAGTTAATTATCTCCAGGATAGAGGGGAGGGGTTGCACTGTTACTGTGGGTGTGTTTAATAATTGTACTATAAACTGATAGGTTCTGTATATTTTGTCACAGTTTTCCACAAGGTCCCCTGTGGGAGTTTCCTTGCTGGGAGACCATAATAAAAGGCTGAGTTTGGGCATCAATAAATCAGATCGTTTTACCCCTTCATGAAGTCTCGACTCATTTTTGGGGGAATTGGGAGCTATAATCACTACTTCGTTATTATTCTACTGGGAGTTCGGGAGAAGCTGCAAGGATCGGAACTACAGAGATAACAGGATCCTTCACAATAGGTATCACACACAATACCAGAAACTACTCATGAACATATATACTATAACATTCCACATACACGCAAATACAATGTTACAACTGCAGCATCTATAAATACACACCTCAAAAAAATAGGACCGGCAGGCCAAGGATCTGTAAGATCTTGTTTTGGCACCGTAATACAAAAAGGTTGCCTACCCCTGATCTATAATAAAGTAAAATTTAAGCCGATCCTTGAGGAAATGAATAACAAAGGTAGATACAGTATTCAGATTTGCAAAATCAATTATATTTTATATACATTGGTAAACATATATTGCCCCAATCAGTCTCCAACAAAATTTCCTGAAAAACTAATGAACAGAATAGATCAAATAACTCAAGGTATTTTAATTTTAAGAGGGGATTTTAATTATACCTTGAATTACGTGTCCCCACCGGATTGGCTCTCTATCCGGTTTCCCAGCAGGGTGAGATACGTAAAAGGGAGATTGTGGCCAGTTTATTTCTTACCCCTGACGAAAGATGCACACATCAGTGCACGAAACGCGCGTCTGGTTATTCTTTTCTTCTCAGGGGGCACTTTATACACATGGTGTAGCAAACTAGCATTCTAAGTATGGTTCTGCTGGATTAGCACTTTATTTTAAAATGTTTTCATTTACTTGTCCTCTCACTGTCTAGCGAGAATATCAGGGAGAGAGGCTATTCTATTACAATTCCTGTCTTCATTTCTGTCTGTGGACCTTTAATGAGTTCAACAATCATTCGATCATTTTGGAAAAATCACAGAAAGATTCTTATTACTTTTTAATAGAGACAGCATTTGTGGGCAGTACAATTAATTTATTTTGTCAGAACTTTAGGGGCTGTAGTTTGCAATACAAGCTATCAACCCCACAAGATTGAGTGTTATAACAACTGTTGCAAATCAGAACCTTCTCTCTCCTTTTGTTACAACATTGCAATATTGTGACTATTTAGAAGCTGAGTCATCTGGTTCATTCTTTCTGCTAAATCTAAATTCCTTATATTGAACTATATAGTCAACTGCAATTGTTTACATTATATAACCTTCTATTAGCTGATTAGTACTGCCTTGTATAATCATTGGTATACAGTTTTCTGCTCCCTGTATCCTAGAGTATTACTCAGTTTAATTGATTAAGATCCATCCCCTGATATAGATATCTCACAATAAAGTCTGAGATTAGGGTTACTGGAGGTTAATATATACACTGCTCAAAAAAATAAAGGGAACACTTAAACAACACAATGTAACTCCAAGTCAATCACACTTCTGTGAAATCAAACTGTCCACTTAGGAAGCAACACTGAGTGACAATCAATTTCACATGCTGTTGTGCAAATGGGATAGACAACAATGATAGGCAATTAGCAAGACACCCCCAATAAAGGAGTGGTTCTGCAGGTGGTGACCACAGACCACTTCTCAGTTCCCATGCTTCCTGGCTGATGTTTCGGTCACTTTCGAATGCTCGTGGTGCTTTCACTCTAGTGTTAGCATGAAACGGAGTCTCCAACCCACACAAGTGGCTCAGGTAATGCAGCTCATCCAGGATGGCACATCAATGCAAGCTGTGGCAAGAAGGTTTGCTGTGTCTGTCAGCGTAGTGTCCAGAGCATGGAGGCGCTACCAGGAGACAGACCAGTACATCAGGAGACGTGGAGGAGGACGTAGGAGGGCAACAACCCAGCAGCAGGACCGCTACCTCCGCCTTTGTGCAAGAAGGAACAGGAGGAGCACTGCCAGAGCCCTGCAAAATGACCTCCAGCAGGCCACAAATGTGCATGTGTCTGCTCAAATGATCAGTAACAGACTCCATGAGGGTGGTATGAGGGCCCAACATCCACAGGTGGGGGTTGTGCTTACAGCCCAGCACCACGAAGGACGTTTGGCATTTGCCAGAGAACACCAAGATTGGCAAATTACACACTGGCGCCCTATACTCTTCACAGATGAAAGCAGGTTCACACTGAGCACATGTTGCAGACATGACAGAGTCTGGAGACGCCGTGGAGAACGTTCTGCTGCCTGCAATATCCTCCAGCATGACCGGTTTGGCAGTGGGTCAGTAATGGTGTGGGGTGGCATTTCTTTGGGGGGCCGCACAACCCTTCATGTGCTCACCAGAGGTAGCCTTACTGCCATTAGGTACCGAGATGAGATCCTCAGACCCCTTGTGAGACCATATGCTGGTGTGGTTGGCCCTGGGTTCCTCCTAATGCAAGACAATGCTAGACCTCATGTGGCTGGAGTGTGTCAGCAGTTTCTGCAAGACGAAGGCATTGATGCTATGGACTGGCCCGCCCTTTCCCCAGACCTGAATCAAATTGAGCACATCTGGGACATCATGTCTCGCTCCATCCACCAACGTCACGTTGCAACACAGACTGTCCAGGAGTTGGCAGATGCTTTAGTCCAGGTCTGAGAGGAGATCCCTCAGGAGACCATCCGCCACCTCATCAGGAGCATGCACAGGCGTTGTAGGAAGGTCATACAGGCACGTGGAGGCCACACACACTACCGAGCCTCATTTTGACTTGTTTTAAGGACATTACATCAGAGTTGGATCAGCCTGTAGTTTTTCAACTTTAATTTTGAGTGTGACTCCAAATCCAGACCTCCAGCCTTCTTTCTTCTTTTTATATGAACTTCCCATTAAAAAAAAATTAAGTCTTTTTATCATTAAAATGTACCTCCGTTCCAGCGCCGAAATCCCCGTCAGGCCGCTTCCCTTTTTCATCAAAATGACGAAGTAGCAGGGCTAGAGAAGCGTCATAGCAATCTGGTGCACATGCGCGGCTTGGCGCTGCGCCAATCGCGTTCTTCATAGAGCGGCATTGATTGCTGCCCTATGAATGAACTCAATGCTCTACCGCGCATGTGCCCGGTATGCGCGTTCCTGAGCTGACTGACAGTTCAGCTTGCTGCCTATGCCCGCCCCCTCCTATGGCAACCCTCCAGCCCAAAGTTAGTATACAAACACTATATATAGAGGAATCTCTATATATAGTGTTTGTTTGTATAAAAACACACAGCTTTTAAATAAATATTGTTAGACATACACACACACTATTTCTTTCTTTCTCATTTTATCTATCTCTTTCTATCTGTTTCTATTGTAACCGTGTGTGGTTCCCTTATTTACCACTATAATGTCTTAAAGCATAGAACTTAGTAGGGCTAACCATACAGATATCTTAGCCATAATTTTATATAGTGTAAGAGATCCTCTTTTTAACATATATAAATAATTGAGAATACAATATAAAATAAGGATTGTCTTGGAAGCAAGATTGTCTTTTTGGATATTTATTATATAAAAATATAAAATCCATTATAGCAGAGTTTATAAGATTAAATTACATGCTTGCAAATATCATTAATAGGTTAACATACCCTTCTGAACATGTCATCATGTCAGCCTCTCTGTCATTTTAAGATGGAGCAGCGTCTGTCTCCAAGTCTCTCCTCTGTGTCTTAACATTTAAAAGTGCACCTATTTATACCTTAGGTGTCTCCATTTTAAGGTTACTGTAGTTCAAATATGAAAAAGTAACACTTCTTTTACTTTATTCAATTTAGGACCTCCCTTAATTTGGCAAACATACAAGGCCATAACTAAATGGTGTCTACGTCATGGAAATTTTCCTGACTTAGTTCAAGATGGCATCTTAAAGTCTGAATAGGTTATCTGTTGTTTATACTAAGTCGTAAGTGTACAGTCGCGGGAGATTCCCGGATTTGGGGAAGTTCCATTAACTTGGGGTTACCACAGTATATTGTGTACTGCAAGTGTCGTAGTATAGTCTTGAAGCTTGTTTATGCATTATTGTTATTGTAATTCGTCTGGGACAAAATGGCGCAAACATATTATGCACTGAGGTTATTGCTTAAAGAAACAGTTATGAAAAACAATATGTTCCATTTCTAACACCTTGTCAGTTTGCAATATATCTTAAAGACAAAGTACACAGTTTAAGAAATACAACATTTCATTCTAAAACTTGTAATATTTGCATTTGCCCATAACACCCTCTCCATTAAACTGTGGGCATTGTAGCGCATTTCTTCCTTAAATTAGTGAACCAAAGTTCTCCAACTGTCTTTAGGTTTTTGTGCTCCCAGCATCATGGATCATTGTTGTAACAGTAAAATATCCGTAGTGTGATCTTTGCATGTAAAAGTGGTTGATTAAAATGAGCAAAGCTTTTGTCTGGGAATGAATTGAAAAGAACACCAAGTTCCAGAGTAAGATATTTTTTGATGGATCCGGATGCAGATTGTAATCCAAAATTAAAAGTAGTAATTGTATTTGTAATCCAAAGTCTTAAAAGGCCTGTAGAAGTTTACATTCCTTAGATACATTGCTGGAGGTTGTGTTTGTAGAATACCCGGGTATTTGTTGTAGAGTATAGATTGTAGAGTCCAGCTTTCCAAATATTTGGCTAGAATTGGTTGTGGATATTGAATCAGCATCATCTGTTATCACCGTGGTGATGGTGTTGTTATTTGTCTTTGCCTTTTATTTTTTCCATGAAACATTTTTACACAGTTTATGATGTGTATAGATTGGATACTCTCCGATATTCTTTTACGGTATAAATTAATTGACATAATTTCCAAGATATTGTCTTAAGTGACATGGATCCCATAGTAAATGTTATGTTGATACAGCAATCGAAGTGGATTCTCAGGAACACCTCTTTTTGCTGTATTGGAATCTTTGTAACATCTCAGTGATAGACATCTCACTGACATCAGGTGCTGTTGTGCTAAAAATGTTAACAGGTAAAATCTGTGGAAAAATCTTTACATTTGTTATAGTTTGTATAATAATGATAGATGAAATAGTAACATAGTTAATCTTTCTAGTGTTTTGTTTTAAAGATAAACACCCTTGTATATGATTTAGCTATATAAGGATAATTTGAAGCAGCAAAGTATTTACCGCCTTTGTTCACAATGGTATGTAAAATTACATTCTCTTTAAATGTTAAAAATACTCCTTTATTCAAAATCTCTCAATCTATTTAGAATAGTTGATAATTGGAAATATGACGTTAATTATCTTTCTTTGACCTGTTAGGGAGAAGACAACTTATTCCCTAGTTATTATTGGCTTAAAATACCATAAACACCCAAAAATTGTCTTAAAAACATTTTTTTTTTTTTACCAAGATCTGACAGCGATTGTGGAAAGTTACGTTCGTGAGATTGGATGTTTAACAATGTGAATCTTAATTGTTTAAGTATATTTTTCAGTGGCTGTTGGATTTAATTTTAGATGATTTGAATATTTATTATTTCTAAAAGTGAGGTAAGAAAGCACCCAGATACAATATTGAAGGTATTTATATTTTAACTCTACCTTTGAATAAGTGGTTTTATGTACCTTTAACCATCACAAACCAAATAACATTTTCTTGGTATTTGAAAAACTGATAAAATATCTGATTACGTTTGTTTTAATATACATAGAATGGTATGGATGTTGAATTTATATCTTAGAACTCATTTCACCAGTTTGCAATAGGTGACCTAAATTATTAATTTCTAAATTCATCATGTATATCACCTGGACGGGTTAATCCATAATACTCTTTTACTTTCCATTGACTGGCCTTAGCTCTGGCAGACTGGATAGGTTTATCATTATAAATAAACTTTATGATAGTTGAAGTAAAGTTTCTGCCTGTCTTTCAGTTAAATTTTATATTAATTATACCACTCTGCAAACTTAAACGAATATCGAATAGTTTCTGATTTAATAAAAACATTTCACATTTTCTTTTAAGGTTAAAACATTCATTATTGCAGTTGTTATTGCAATCATATGATCTTTAACTATCATGATTCAATTATTTATCTGGGTAATTAGCTGTTATGCTCTTATACTTTATGTCTAATATATTTGTTTGTAGGCCAGACTGCAGCTGCATATGGCATTTTAGCAATAATCTTCAATTGCGTTTCAGATATTCACAAAGTCTATCCACCTTTGTAATTAACACATTATGTGTTTCTTATACCATTAATTATAGTATCTGTATTATATTACACATTGTCACTGACACATTTCTGATACAGGGAAAAAATAGCATGATTGCTTTAGTAATTACAATTTTTCTGTCCATGCACCACATTCCTGGAAGTCCAGAATATAGCAAGAATCCTTTGTCGTTTGATTCTATGGAGCCATTTAACGTTTTGATTGGTATAGTTATACCAAAAGAGCAAGGAGTATGACGGTAGATCACATCTGCAACAGAACCATTACAGATTCTTTGTTGTATCAATGTCTCTGTCTTTATGTTTACAGGAGTTCCTTGCTTTGCAGGTATGTACATAATATGTAGAGTTTAAGAAAAGCTGCAAATCGTGCTTTAGTACAAGTGTCCCGTGATGTCAGGTTTCTGAAAGATTTTGCTGGTCTTTTTATATTCCATTCTCTTGACAGGGCATCTGCTCTTAGTAAGCCGGTCTTGTTATTATTTATTAATTGCATCAAGGTTTCTTTCGTTAATTGATGTGTTTCTTCCGAATTCAAATTCGTATGCCACCAAATGTCATTGTAAAGTTCATTGTTACAGAATATTGTTCCAGGATGGTTTTTTCACTCCAGTAGGAAATCTATTTTCCTCTTCTTCTGCTCCTTCCTATTAACCACTTTTTCTGAGTTGTAGGTAACAATCTGTCTTGTACTGTGAGGTGCTTTGATAGTCTATCAGGTTTTCTCAGTACCATGTTCCATCTTGAAAAACAGCTGGGTGTTGACAGTTATCAGCCATTATTTTTTTCCGGTCATCTTCTGTCTGGATAATAGCATAGCACTTCTTTTCAGCATAAGAAGGCTGTTTGCGGTAGTCATTCAATGATAAACTATATGGCAAAGTCTTTTCTTGCATCACCTTCATAGGTGCATCCAAAGTCTTTCATAAGCATCTTTCCCATCTTTTTCTGTTTTCAGCATGCTTTGCCATCATCGTTCAGTCCATTATTAGGATTTGTAATTGTCCAATCACATCTTTCTCATGTATAATCGGTTTTTGGAATGATCTCAATAGGTTCCTTGTGAAATACCAGTGTAGGCAATCATTTCACTGTGAGCTGTGTCTCTCCTTTTGAGATGGTTCTTGGAGATAGTCCTCACGATCACAGAACTTGTATAGTGTGCAGTCCAATTCAGTTCAGTTGCTTCCTGCTTGTTAACGTAATCCCAATGCGGTTTTAAAACGACAGCTAGGGTTGATGTTATGATAATGCTGCAGACTGTAAGAAGGAGACACCAATTTTCTAGCATCCTTTTGCTTCCATCTTTGCATTTCTTTCTTATTGTACAAGATAATTCAGGTTCAGTCTGTTTTCTCCAGAGTCTTTCTTATAATGATGTTGATGATTCATTTTTCATTCATTCCATGTTAACTGTGAATGTATCACGTCTGTCTGTTTATCCTTCTCCTTCACATTTGCAGGTTCAGATGTCAGATCATGATTCAGTCTGTTACATGGCTATGATTCTGGTGGCTTTTCTGTCGTCCTCTGTTTGTTTTATCTTGCCATCTTTAACAGCATCCATTGTGTCAGTCAGTGGTTCTGTGAATGTCCTGTTAATATTTAGCAGGTTGTAAAATATCAAAACTTACTGTTCTCTGTTGGCTCTGATTGTTCTCTGTAGTAAAAGTTATCTGAGTCACCCTCTCCAGGACAAGCTGGCCAACAGAAGGAAATAGGTGGTGGTGCAAGGCAAGGTGGGCTGGAAAAAAAAATTCCCTAAATTTCTCTAATAGAACCAATGGTTCTAAGCTCTCCCTGGTGCAGAAATATAATTGTCAGTGAAAAAACATGTAACATTTCATATGGTGTCTCACCATTTGTATCATCAGGTATGTTGTGAATGCTCATCTGTACCATAGGAATAAATAGATACCACTGTGTGGGGCAAGCAACTAGTAACTTGGTTAATAATCATTTAACCTCAGCATTTTCCCAGACCACAACCCCACTTCTTTGGGGGTGGTTGGGGCACTGAAATCCCAAAGTAACCCAAATGTGGTTGCCCAGTTTTAGGTTTCCTTTGCTGTAACTGCAGGACCACCATCCAAATGGATGGTCCTGGGATTATCAAATGCATACTAGGGAAGTGAGACTAGAAAACGTGGCATCAGAGGTTGCACTTCGCACAGGATATATCCAAGTAAACCTGGTACATGCATCAACACATACAAAAACATATTTATAACCATGAGATGTTGGCAAACTTTCAATATATAGTAATTCAAAAGTATGTTGGATATTAATATTTCAATAAACAGTACATCAGTAATGTGGCAATAAGCAAATGCTTATGATTACTAAACACATGAATTACAGTATTTCCCATATTGTGACCACCAATATTCCTTTTCAGGAGTCAGAAGTACATTATCTCTCTCTATAAGAGCTTGTCCTAGCCATGAAAAAGCTTTTGGGCAAGTCTATCTTTCCTCTATAGGAAGAACAACCAACATATTACCTTCAATGGTTATTATGTAATTAACCCCTCTAAATGATAGGAGTATTTATGTGGATACCAGGTGGATGAGGTCTGGATATCCTTGCAAGCATAAACTCTGCATCTTGACTGAGAGATAGGGTATGAGATGTGATCCAATGACCACAGAAAAGCGTTGGTAGACACATTGCATCAAAGTGCCTGTTAACGACATGAGGAGAGGGACCATGCTTTGTTATAAGCATGTCCATACACGTATTACAATGCCAGGCTTTCAATTTGTTTCCACAAAGCAAAATGCAGTTGTTGATATAAACTCACGACGTATCGTAAGAAAAACTGTTTGAACACCAGACTGAGATTCGAGATCAGTGAACAGTGGACCAAAATAGATAAATGAAATCCTATCAATTAATATACTTTCAATATATTTTCTTTAAA